AAAAAAAAAAAAAAAAAGGTCTTTTTGCTGTATGTCTGTTGTCTTTACATGGCTTTCTTATACGAATACCGATCATTAAATTTAGGGCCACCCTAAAAGCAGTATGATTTCATCTTAACCTTTAGTAGGTCTCCAAAGGTAGTATTTCCAAATAAGGTCTTATTCACAGGTGCCAGGAGTTAGGGCTTTAACATACCTTTTTAAGAGATACAGTTCACCCCACACAAGAGTGCCTTGAGCATAGAGATTGTGCTTTGACTTCCTTTTTAAAACGTTCACAGTCTGCTGTTTGGGGCAGGGACTCTCGATGGATGTCCTTTTCATGTGGTTTCCCTATTCCTGTGTCTTGCACTGTCACCCTAAGTGGCAGGTAGAGTCAGCTGTTGGTTATTGTCTAATTTTTTTCTCCTCTCCCTCTGTATTTTATTGCTTAGTCATTTTTTTACAGGTTGCCTAGGGAGGTCAAGTCACTGTGGTTATGAACTTTGTAATGGGGTTGGAATTATTGATAAAATGGCATCAGCTTTTTTGATTTGTTTTTACTTTAAATTGAGAGCTCCATGCTGTGCTTATCCTGCTAAGAATTCAGCAATAGTCTTAACCTGTCCTGGGCTGCATTTTCTCATTGTTCTAGGCAAGAAGGACGTGGGAACAGGTAAGTTTATTTTTATTTATTTATTTATTTTTGAGACAGAGTCTCACTATGTTGCCCTCAATAGAGTGCCATGGTGACATAGCTCACAGCAACCTCCAACTCTTGGGCTTAAGTGATTCTCTTGCTTCAGCCTCCCAAGCAGCTGGAACTACAGGCACCTACCACAAGGCCCAGTTATTTTTTTGTTGCAGTTGTCGTTTTTAGCTGACCCTGGTTGGGTTCGTCGAACCCACCAGCCTCGGTGTATGTGGCCAGCGGCCTACCCACTGAGCTACAGGTGCCGCCCAGAACAGGCAAGTTGGCTCGGCGCCTGTGGCTCAGGTGGCTAAGGCGCCAGCCACATACACCTAAGGTGGCGGGTTCGAATCCCCAGCCCAGGCCGCCAAACAACAGTGATGGCTGCAACCAAAAAATGGCCGGGCGTTGTGGCGGGTGCCTGTAGTCCCAGCTACTTGGGAGGCTGAGGCAGGAGACTCGCTTGAGCCCAGGAGTTGGAGGTTGCTGTGAGTGTGATGCCATGGCACTCTACCCAGGGGGATAGCTTGAGGCTCCGTCTCAAAAAAAAAAAGAACAGGCAAGTTTATACACTGGGGAACTTGTGTATGGCACATAGCTGTGCAGATTCCCAGTGATGAGGATGCTCCAAAGATTGGCAGATCAGAAGGAAATTTTAAAGCTCAAAAGAACTACTTGATGCCTTTCCCATAAAATTTAAATAAAGCTCCTAAGACGTATGCTAAAGAGCTGTTTGAAAGCCTTTTTGAACTGACCTCAGCTTGGGCAGCCCTTTATCATTTTGTCAGCTGCCAGACGGATTCATACTGATGGCTTCATACTGCCAGATTCTTTGCCAATTAAACAGAGGCCGGGATGGTCTAGGCCCCCAAAGCCACAGAGACCCAATTGTTTGGTCCTTCCTGTGCCAGTGACTCTCACACTCTATTTCATTCTCTCTAAAAGGAAAACTTTTAAATAAATGTTTTTTTCTTTTAGAGCGTTTAGATGAGGAAAGCTTTGTGGTGTGGTTCATGATTACAGCCTGCAATTGTGGGAGTGGCAGGGGGCCGTGTACAGTCTAGGAAACAATTCTGCATATTTCAAACTCTTTTCAATTTAGGGTCTTTAAATGATAGGATGATTGCTCATCAGCCTGTAATGTCCTGCCTTCTAGGGCTCCTTCCATATCTGGAGCCAGTCCAAAGTCTTATTGATGGCCCTGTCATATATTCAACTGAAGCACGGGTCTGATCAAGCAAGATTCCAGTGGGCAGAAATTCCTTAAGACTCATTTCATGTTGAAGTTTAATTTCTAGGACTTGATGATTCCCTTTCTCCCCAAATTGTTGATTGGGTTTTTTTTGTTTGATTTTTGTTTTTTCCTGATAAAGTTAGTCTATCATAGTTCTGTGATTCCAGGACATGGTTGGATAGCAGTTATAGATTATATGTATAAGTCTAATGACTTATGAATTGCTAGCCAGTCAGGAGTTGGAGTTAACGTATGTAGAGATTCTGGGTTCCTGGTGTATTATAGCCCTGGAACGTGTGCTATATCCCATGTACTAGACCCATTGGCTGCTGTGCTGACTTCCATATAATTCTCTGAACTCAGGGAAGCATCTACATCTATTTTGAAATGACTTTTCTTTTTATTGGAAGGATTTTAGGAACTTAAAGTATCTAAATCTATAATGAAATAGAAAACACAACTATAGCCCAGGATGAAGGAGGGAAGAGGAGAGGGAGGAGGTTGGATGGAGGGAGGGTAAACGGTGGGACTACACCTATGATGCACATTGCAGGGGTACATGTTAGATCTATTAAGGGTAGAGTATAAATGTCTTTATTATTATCTTTTTAATTAAATCATAACTTTGTACATTGAGGCATTTATGGGTTCAGGGTACTGCTTTGATATACAATGTGAAATGCCTACATTGAACTAAGTAACACATCCATCACAGTTATACTCATTTCTTAATAGATTTGAAATGTACCATTGCATCATGCACATTAGGTGAAGTCCCCGGAAATACCCTTCCTACTTCCATATCCCGCCTCCTCTTCCCTTCTACTTTCTGGACAGTGCTTATGTTTTGCCATTCATATGGATGTGTAAGTGATTATGTATTGATCATAGTAGTATTGAGCACATTGGATACATTTTTTTCCTATTCTTGAGATACTTTACAAAGAATAATATGTTCCAGCTCCATCCAGGTAAACATAAAAGATGTGAAGTCTCCATCCTTTTCTATGGCTGCATAGTATTCCATGGTGTACATATACCACAATTTGTTTAGCCATTCATGGGTCAGTGGGCACTTGGGCTGTCTCCATGTCTTGGCTATTATGAGTTGGGCTGCAGTAAACATTATGGTGCAAATGTCTTTGTTGTAAAATAATTTTTGATCATCTGGGTATATACCTAGTAGAGGAATTACAGGATCAGATAGTAGGTCTACTTTTAGTTCCTTGAGTGTTCTCCAAACTTCTTTCCAAAAAGGTCATATTAGCTTGCATTCCCACCAGCAGTGTAGAGGTGTTCCCTTCTCACCACATCCACACCAACATCTGTAGTTTTGGGATTTTGTGATGTGAGCTATCTTACTGGAGTTAGATGATATCTTAAAGTGGTTTTGATTTGCATTTCTGTGATG